ATTGAGGAGGCAAAAGAGACAATTTACATTTAAAATAAGAAAACACAATTGCCTTGTCTTATTTCAAGTACATTTTATCTAATTATCTCATTTTAAGATTAAAAATACTCTACTGGCAAACTATGTCGTTTAACCTACTCAAATTGAGGGTAAATACACTTAATTTAATACATTTTTACTTATTTCTAGATCGTTTTTCCAGTGAAATGTTGATTTTCAAAGTATTTCACTGAGTGCCCTATAAAGGGTTAAGCTAGAAATCTTTGTAAATGAGCACAACATGAAATCAAACTTAAAGCAGCCTCCTTAGAGAAGAAATCCTTTCCTGAAAACCAACTATATTAAGTCAGCTCTTCTTGCACTACCTAACAAGCCACTGAGCAATATTAATGCTAAATGCCTTTTGCCTGGAAGTGTAAAGTTTCAATGCACCTAAGAAAAGGTGGGAATGTAGGAATATATCTAATCCTGAGTAGAATAAACGTAAATTTAAACGTGACAACCAAAAATATTATTTCTAAAACCTCTGAACCATTCAGCCAACAAAATGAATAGTTCAAATAAACTGTTCCAACTATTACGAGACTCATTCTCATGGTGATTGTATGTAACCTTCTGATCTGGGTGTCAGACGGAGCGAACAATTATTGACTCACCTGTTCTTGCCCCATTGAGGGCAGGCCCGGCGAAGACCCCGACGCCATGGATGTGACGCTCATCTGTCCGCTCATCTGACCCATGCTGCTGGTAACCATGTTGGTGGCCATGGAAACGCTGTTGATGCCCATGCTGTTGCCGTTGTACATGTTGCTGCTGTTCTGCTGGGTGAACTGAGGCGACGCCTGCTGCTGCTGCGCGAACATACTGGGGAGAGGAAACGCAGCGGGAGCTGTTACACTGCTATGCACAGCACTTAGTGATAACTTATTTAAATGTTTAGAAACAACCCAACGTTATATTTAAATAGTTCCTGGAGCTTTTATGCACAATTCCAAGAACCCATGCAGAAGTCAAGTTCAGTTTTAACATTGCTTTGATAATGAAGGAAGTTTTTAGAGAAAATTAGAGGAGATTTTACAAAGGATCGATGATTATGCTCAGTTAAAGTTAGTTAGACTAGAATAGAACAGAGGGGTCTGGTCGTCCTTACCTGTTGCCCCCTATGTTACCCTGTGGCCATCCATTCATGTCAGGGGAACCCTGAAAGGCGGCGTTCTGTTGGCCCTGCTGCATCATGGGAGACTGCGTGTGGGCAATGCGTGGCGAAAGCAGGGGGCTCTGTGGCGTGCTGGCTCCTGCAAAACTCCCATCTGCTTGTTGTGTCAAACCTGCAGTGGATGAATTTAACCACGTCAACCACAGTTATGCTGTAGAAACGTAGCCAATTAAAGATTTTAAAAAAGAAACAGAAAGAAAAACGGTGTGGCGTGTTAAAACGGATGCAAAATAAGAGTGGAGAAAAGTGCATTCCGGGTCATTCACAGGCAGCTGGCATTTCTTTTTACATGCTTTGTTAAATCAAACAGGCTCAGGAACAAGAGGAGAGATGATGAAGGAGATTGTTTGTAAAGTAGGAGCTTTCATCATCGTTAAAAGCTCTTTAAGGTGTAAATATTTCAAATATTGACTGAGAAATCAGATCTCAATATCACCAACTACTCCAAAAAAGCATGGTCAAGTTGGGAGGTGGTGGGGTGGATATAGTGTGCTCTTACGCCATCTGGTGGAGTAAAAAGGCTTAACTACATTTATAGGATTAACATGAATAAGTAGTCTTATTTTAGTTTATCATGACTGATCAAAAAATGCATGAAATTATAGATCTAGGATATGATTTTAATTCAACTTTAAGTGATGCCTCATAACTACATTCACATCAACACAAATCAACACACACACACACACCCGCACACATTCACACACCCAGGGGTTTTCAGATGAGGTGTGCTGTTGGGGGGTGGGGGAGCAGTACCTGAGTTGGGAAACTGAAAGGCACTGTGCTGCATTTGGGGGCTTAGTACGGCCCCATATTGTCCGCCCATCATGTTTGTGTTTCCCATCATCATCTGTGAGGAGGAGGAGGAGGTGGAGGAAGAGGAGGTACCATGCAGGTGGAGCTGAGGGTTGGGGGAGAGAGGGGAGGAGAAGGGGCTGGTGGGGGGAGGTGACGAGGCCAGGCTTGTACCGGTACCGTAGCTGGGTGGGTAGGGGAACTGCTGGGGGGCGGCCTGGGGATTCCTGGGGTTGCTCATGCCTCCGGCCATGTTGAGGCCCTGGGCCCTCATGGCTATGGTCCGCTGCTGCTGGACCTGCTGGGCCTGTTGAACGTGCTGCTGCTGCCTCTGCCTCAGGTGGTTACTGAGCAACTCCCGCTGACGCTGCGCCAACATATGAGCGTTGATGTTTCCCTAAAAGATCACCAGGCATTTGAAAAATGTAAGCAACACAGTAAATATGTCAGCTACGATTCACTTGCAATGTCTGAAAAAAGTATTCTTTCATTTCTGTGTCAACCTTTGTCAGAAAATTCAGATTAAAACATTTTTTTTTTCATGGCGTTAATGTGCCAAATTATTCAAATAAATAAGAGGACTTTAGAAATGTAGTCTTTAAGCCTTTGGTTTACTGCAAATCACTAGGAGGCTAACAAGGGCCTAAAATATAATAGAAATGGTTGGTTCAAATGTTTTCCATTATGCTTTGCATCACTGTTTTATCAATGACAGAGCTTTGACCATTAAAATGAAGCACTATATCTGGCAAGTCGGATGGATCTGTTTACAATAGATGCCTAGCCCTTGTGTAGATGCAGGTGGATAGAAAAGTTTATAGTTTAGCGAGTCACAATGGCTGAGGGCAAGACATTTGGGAAAAATGTAGCAAAGAACAGCTAATGCTTTAAAAAACAAAACAAAAAAAACCCCCAGCATATATATTATTCAAAGATATTTTTGTTTCAAGATAGACTACTTTCTACCACCAGGTACACAACAACCACATGAGGAAACACGCATAACCTTTGTTGTCACATTAAACAGAACCCCATAGAGCTGTATGAAGAGTTCCAAAAAGCTAGCGCTAGCAACCTCTAGGTTGCAAACATTAGGACAGCGGTGACCAAACTACAGCCCACTGGCTGACAGCGAATTCTGAAAATATAATTGAATATGGCCCGCACAAAAAACTTGAGCTCAATTATGTTGCACTTTCACCACTAGATGGAACCATTTTTACACAGATAACTGTGTAGGATTGAAGAAATCTAAGCAGAAAAAGTAAAGCATGGTGAATCCTTTATGTTAATTTATATATTACAAGAGATATCATTATCGCAACATTAAGCTCTGTCAATGCACATTGCAGGTTTTCCTAGTTTTGTGCAGCCAACGCTAAAGCTCTAGTGATACCACGTTTGTGCAGCAATGATCATCAATGGCTGCTGTACCTGGTTTGAAGCATTAGCTCTTAGAGGTAGGTTCACAGTTGAGAGACCACTCATCTGAGTCATCATGGGCTGACTTTTCTGCTGGGAAAGAACACAAGGATACATTTAAATACAAATACTAAGACTAGGTGATTTAAAACAAACTTCTAATTTACCACTTATTGAAATAATATTCAACTAATTTGATAATGAAATCAAATATTTAACTGGAGTGTACAGACTCTTGTGATTTGCTGAGAGAATAACCTAATCAGGGCAGTACTTAGGTAAAAATTCCAAAAAACATAATCCTTTGCATTTAAGACAAAAACCAATTGTCTGTAAATATGCTTTCTATTTCTTTAAAAGTTTTTCTGCACAGTTATTAATCGTAAAAATAATAATTGGGTCAACATATTAAGAAAATAATTGCTTTATTTCTGTTTATGTCCATCGACAAATGAAGACCTTATCATATAAATTGCAATAATTCAAGCATTTTTGTTTTTGTTTTTACCATTTACAATTAATTTGAAATTTGGCATAAATGTTTTAAGTTTAAAATTAGTTTTTACTGAAGAATGTTAATCCACTAAAACTAGCTTCTGATTGAAAGATAGATAAAAAAAATTATTACAAAAACCATCGATAGGTGCAGCCTAGGCATGAAACAACTATTTTGCAAATTGATTAATCTATTGATTCATTTTGTGATTAATTGATTTTATTTATTTTATTTTTATTTACCGGTAACCTTTATGTTACCAGGAAGTCCCTTGAGATAAAATCTCTTTTTCGAGGGAGACATGGCCAAGAGGCAGCAGTACAATAAGACATATAAAAACACATAAAAACAACATAATAAAATCAATCATAAACTAGACTCTAGAATAACAGTTACAATTCTCTGTGCAATCGGTTTTCAATAGTGATTTAAAATGCTGTAGCGGAATAAGAGTCTGTAATTGCAGGGAGTTTTGAATATTGTGCCACGACCATGGTGCTGCATAGGAAAATGATGTTTTGCCAAGGTTTGTGTTGATCCTGGGAATATTGAAAAGAACACGACTTGAAGAGCGTGAGTTGATTTATAATCTGATAGTCAAAGGTTCCTTAAAGAAGATTTTTTTAAATCAAATAAAACAGGTAAAATTAAAATGTTTCCACTTGTGGGGTTCTGGATAGAGCATATTGACCGAAGAAAATGTTTTTTTAAATCTTAGATGCAAAATTTTAAATTAATTCGCAATTTTTTTATTTTTTTTTTTTTTTTACAATTTTGGTATAATTACTGCTCTAATTGGGTCACTCAGTGAGCTAAAAGCATGCTTTAGAGTCTCTATACTCAATTTAACAATTAATCGATTACTAAATTAGTTGATGATTATTTCAATAATCGATTAATCACGATTTATCTGATCGTTTCAGCTCTACTGCAGTCCTTGTTATCATGGAATTACGAATATAAAGTGTAAGGTTACTAGCCAAGTAAGAGTGTTTTATCTGTAGCACAGTTGGATTTAAAAAAGAAAGGCCTTTGCGTCTAAATTTGCATAATCAGAGGCTTCCAATTTGTAAACCTCAAGGACAATTACATAACCTCTGTCTGTTTATTCAGTCGCCCAAAAAAAGATAAAACGCTGAAGTCCAGAGTGGATCAATAAGTTTCATGTCACGTTCAGTCATGTCAAGGCACTCAGGGTACCTGTTGTGACTGAAGCCGGTGCTGAAGCTGCAGCCGTAGTGCATTGGGCTGGTTCGGAGCGACAGCACCCGGCCTAAGCCCGGGCCGTGACTGCATCCTCATCATGGGGTAGCCTGGCCGGGGGCCCATCTGGCCGGGCATTGGGTGAAAGCTGGGCTCCTGCATGGGTGTGCCGGCAAAGCCCCTCTGCACCATGTGGGAGGTCGGAGGGCCGAATTGCTGCGCGTACATGGGGGGCTTCTGGTCTAACATGATGGAGGGGTCTTGGGAGAACTGGTCTGGTTCCAGTGACTGGCTCTGAAAGAGGAAACAATCCACAACATTCATGAATCCAACAAATGACTCCACCTGGCTAAGGATTCAGCTACTTTTCATTTGCATTTTATAACAATGTAGAGCATAAATGCCCATTTCTGTCTTTTGATTTTTTCTTTTTTTTTTTTTAGGATCATGTGCTTTTCTATTCAGACTTAAAGACTTAATCGTTTCTAGAATCACATTTAGCTGCTGTTACAGCTTTCAGCCTTTAGCAGGAACTCTCAACAGGCTTCAACATTTCTCTTTATTTCAACAGCCTGATATCAGTCAGACTAGCTGGAAGGTATCTTGTCATGTTTCCAGTTAATTCCAGTCTGAGCTTTGACTGGTAATCTTTAATACAAATATACTAAACCACTTATCTGCAGGCTGAATAGTAAATACAGTCTGTAGCATAATATTCAGACCTTTTTCAAACCAATTTAAAATGTATGCACTGCTTGATCTTGGTTTATCACATAATGGCATTAATATGTATATATTAGGTTATATTTATAGCATGACCAAATATTAAAGCTTTCAGGTGGAATAACTACACTTTATGGAAGAAAGTATTACCTGTTCGACCAGCGCAGGGATCCCTAGAGCTCGATCTATCTCTTCTAGACCGTCAAAATCTTTTAGGGCAGAGTACAGCTGGGACATCAAGGCACCCTCATCCACTGCACTACCATCACTACCAAGATTCGGATTGCAAAGGAGATCATCTTGCTGTGCAGGCCTGTAGGAAAAGGAATAAAAAAGGGCTACTTTTCAGTCATGTTACAGAAAGGCTTAGAAAAGTGTTTCATTTGGGATTCAAAGGCTCACCTGTTCTGGTTTGCAAAAGCTGTCCGATCAATTGGCATCATGCTATCGGGCCAGGGGGCCGTCTGGTTGGGAGGAGCCTGCTGCTGGGAGAAATGGTGGCCAACAATGCCAATGTCCATATCAGGTTGCGCTAAAGATAAAGGCAATAAAAGGTTAAAATAATTATCAGAGAGATGCCAAGAGATAAAATCGTGTTTCTGAAACTCTTTCAAAAGAGCTACAAAGCTAAGAAAAGGCAGGTATAAAATCTATAAAACCTTTATCAACCTGTTACCATGAACAACCACAAGATGGCATGCTTAACAACTGTGATGAGCTAGTGAAACTATAGAGGGGTGAACTGAGGTCTTCTTCCCCATGCTTCAGGGGCTTTAAATGGGTGATAACATGAACAACAGATTTAACATCTCGTATCCACGTTCTCACTTCTGGGATTTTCAAACTAGCATGTTTGAAATGTACTCTCACCATTGGCCATTATCGGAGACTGGAGCATCGGTCGGGGTCCCGGCTGGCTGTTTGGCCTCATCGGGGCAGTGCCGGGTACCATCCGACCCTGCATGGCACCTTGTTGTCCCGGTGCAGATGCTCCCATGGGAGGAGCAGAGGCTGAACTGTTCCAGCCCTCCTGCTGCTGCATGCCTGGCCGCGGACCACCTGCGGCCATCATTCCTGGGGGAAGGAAGAAAGCGGATGCAGAGATGACAAGTGGTGAGAAAACTGATTTTTGAGAATGACGTGGGCACCCATGATGTGGTGCCCAGGGTTCAGGGTGAAGGCCAAAGCTGTCTATGCAGGGCTGGGAGCTGTCTGAGGAGTATTGATATGTGGGAGACGCAGTGAGAGAAACTTTGCTATTGTGTGGGCGACTATTTCCTGTCACAGGAAGTGAGTCACTGTGTCACGATGTTGATAGGTTAGGGTGAGAGACGCAGAGGCAGAAGGGAAGGAGTCTCCTCAGATGGTTGGAATCAAACAATTGTGTCAGTTTAAACACTATAAGTGCATTCAGTGATTCACATCATTTTGATGAGATCAACCTGCTTAAAAACATGCTAAAACAATTAGGTTTAAACTGATTGGATGTGAAAAGCTTATTAGACCTACCTGAATTGCTCATACCGGCCTGGTTGGGCATGATACCATGACTTCCCAACATGCCTTGCTGCTGTTGTATCAACGTGTACGGGCTGTTGGCCCTAACGGGGTACTGCAATGATGGCTGCTGTGGGGGTACGTTCATGTCCAGAGAGACACTCCTCAAAGGCAAACTCCTGCCTTGTTGCCCAGGTCTGACAGCTCCAAAGTCTAAAAATCAAAAAGAAACGGGTTTAACGCTAGAAATGCGGACACGCACACAAAAAAGGTTGTTTCCAAGAATTTGAGCTGGACTTACTAGTCTGACCCATGCCAGGTCCCAGGCCTCTTTGCTGCTGCTGCTGTGCCGCCATGGCCGGGTTGTTCTCAGAGAGCTGCAGGATGTCATTTAAGAGGATCTGTTTGTCCATGGGACTGGGTAACGAAACCGGCCGCTGCTCACAGAAGAGCTGCGGCTGAGCATTCTGCAGGTCGTTAAGGATGTCGTCGAGCTCCGATGACTACCAGACAAAGACGAAAGGGGAAGAGAAGCAAAAACTGAATCAGATGAGGCATGTAGAAATTTTAGTGGACAAATTGAGCACCCTCTGTATAAACAAGGGCTTAAACAATTAATTGGATTAATCGATTAGCTGACAGAGCAACCCACTTAGAGCAGCAATTATATCAAAATTGTAAAAAAATAGACATTTTAACATTTGCATTTCAGATGAAAATCTTTTTAGTCTTTCAATATGCTCTGTCCAGAACTCCACAAGTGGAAAAGATTTAGTTTCACCTGGTTTAATTTCAAAAAAATATTCTTTAAGGAACCTTTTACTATCTGATTATTAATCAATTATTCGCGAAAATAATAGACAGATCAATCGATTTGCTAAATATTTATTAGTTGCAGCCCTAGTAGAAACCTTTAGAGGTCATAAGACAAACGAGGTTGATATTTCAGCGGCCCAAAAGTTGGACAACTAAGGCTACGTCACACTGCAGATTTTTTTTGGCCTATATGCGACCTGGATCTGATCTTTTCATGGCAGTATGAACAACATAGATCTGATTTTTTCCAATCCGACCCAGGCCACTTGGCTATGTGGTCCTGAATGTGATACGAATCTGATCTTTTCAAATGCGACCTGTGTCTGAGTGGCCAGGTCGGATTAACCCGACCTGAACGTCATTAATACCTGACAAAGGTCACTATAATGAGTCTTGCTAGGCAGAAGTGGCAAGAAAAACAACAACAATGGCAGATGACGATGCGGAGAGCAGTATTTATGTTTAATCATATTGAAAAGATTGTGTTTTTATGGTTGGAAAAGACAGCTAGATGCACGCCAGCGCTACCATCCATGTTTACTTCCGGAAAAAAAAAAAAAAAGAGCACACTGGCCTGTGATGTCAATGCATCCGCTACTGTGCATGCGGGACACTTGCGTTGTATGACTGCAGTTCACACAGGAGGCATACAAGTCATACATACAATTCGCATATATTTGGAAATATGAATGGCAACGCGAAAAAATCGGATTTTACAAAAAAAACGGAATTGAGCATCAAGGCCTGCAGTGTGAACTAGCCTAAGCTCTTTTTCCTCGATAAAAGTAACCCTGCTCAGCTTCAACAGTAGAGTTACAACTTCACAGCTGACAAACCTGCCATTAAAAAAAAAAAAGGCAATCAAGCTTTTCATACATTCATATCTTTCCATCACACACACTTGGAAGTAATTATAACATACTTTGAGAGAATCAATTCATTTCTATCAGTTTTTGTTGTTGTTGTTTTAAGCCAAACTCCTTTAATTATGTATTTATTTATTTATTTATTTTTTCTTCCAAGATGGCGGCGCCCAAAGGCAGTGGCTTGAAACAGCCCTCAACCATTCAGAACTCTACAAAATGTGCATCAACCTGTATCTATGACTGCCAGCGCCTGTTGGAGCTACGGCCATCAAGTGTTTTTTCTGGACTCGTAAATACAACTACTCTTGACCGCCTAAAAAACGTTGGAGTACTTCGAGCACACGCGCACAGTGGAGCGGACCCATCACTGCTGCACTTTAAAATTGCAGCAGTGATGGGAATTGTTCATTTGACTGCTAAGCTGCTCATTCACTGTTGAAAAAGGCGAACGCATCGAACACAAACTCTGTGTATACAAAATGACAATGAAGTTTATCTAAGTCACAGTCTAAAAAAAAGTCATTTAATGAGTATGCAGGGAAGAAATGTTTGCAGGGAAGAAATGTTTGCAGGGAAGAAATGTTTGAAAAAGTTTATTAAGAGCAAAAAAAATTCAAACATTTTTGAGTTAAAATAAAGAATAGAAAATACTGGTGTTTATGAGACCATAGGGGCTGAAACTGAACATTTTTTGCAAACTGTATTTTATTGACAAACGTACAAATGCCTCTGTGTATGTAACGTAAATCCCTTTACTATCCAACAATGTGGGAATTCACTCTATATTTTGACCCATCCCGTTGGGGAGCAGTGGGCTGCCATTGTCTGGCACCCGGGGAGCAGTGTGGGGTCAAGCATTTTGCTCAGGAACCCAGAGTGCAGGCTTTGGGGATCGGACGGCTACTTGCAACCTTCTCAGTGCACAAGCGCACTGCTCTAGGCCAACACTCCCTACCAGGATTTATAACAATGTCTAACAGAAAATAGCAGTAAAACAAATAATCACTCTAATGAAGTTTATTGAAAGAACCAAAGGTCAGTCAGATATAAAAAGTAACTTTTCACAACCTTTTATCTTCAACAAGGACAACGCCAAGGTAGGAGGGAGCTTCACTTGCTTCAGAGAAGGGAGTGAGGGATCAGGGACATAGTTGCTGTTTTTGGAAAATGGAAGCGTCTCACCACAGATAATTGGTTTTTAGGAGACAAGGCAGGCATTTCCAGATAGTGACGCCCTTGTGGAGCCTCCTCACTGATAAAGCAGCACAGATAATTCCTTGGACTTTCTGAAATGGTTAAAGATAGAAACTTGCTTTGATACATAACTGTTCAATTATTATGTCCTGGTACTTCTGGCACTTTGAGTCATCTGTAAAGCAAAGGTAGACCAACAGGATGTTTGCTTGACATGAAGGAGCAGCTGCCTTCTAATGGCCAGATACAAATGTATAGGAAGAGCAAATCAAGGAGAGATGAAAATGATCTCCCTTTACCCACAAGAAGATAATCACTGTCATTTAAACTGGATAAGACTGCAAATCTAACCAGGTCATATGGTTACCGTCAATATTCTAGTATGAGATAAAGAAATATGATCCACCTCGTTTTCAGAACCATTTCACCTTAGCTTTCATCTTCTAAAGGTTAATATATGCCCATTTACCATCTAGCAGGATTTTAAGATGAAGTTATCAAAAGAAACAGGAAAGAAAATGGGGAAAAAAAAATGTTTTAAGACCAATTTAAAGTAGACCGTCCGTCAGCTGATGAAGGGTTAGGCCACTACTCCTTGAAAATAAAGATCTGGTTTTCATGTCATTGTCTGTAAGGCATCATAACCACCATAAGCACCTTATGGCATACAAAAAAGCTTTCTGTAGACATTAAAACATTTCTACAAGATCCAGAAGGTTATGGGAATGCACCAACAAAAATAATCCACCTGCATACAAGTTTAGGATCCACATGTATCTGCAAAGGCCCAAATTAAAGCCTTCACTTATAAGACCGCATCTGCAAATGCATAGTTCAATGATTAAAATAATAAATTAAAAAATGAAATAAAATATGCAAATGCCATATTTATTTCCACTTTACAAACTGTCCTCTTTGGATTCTACAACTGAGCCACATAAATGGGCCACTGAAAGATGGAAAAAAAATAAAATCCTTAATTTTCCGGCCCGAAGTCTGGCAAGTCCCTTCCCAGGTTTGATTCTTCTTTTCTTTTTAACTAACACCCCTAAACTTTTTATGAGTTGAATAAAACTGTGTTTTGGGCTTCAATAAATTATCCAACTAAACATTCCCTGGGAGTTCTAGTACGGTAAATAAGTTGCAGATGCTGTAACTGTCCAGCAGAGAGCAGCGTAGCTAGACCAATATTTACAGATGGTAATGTACTGTAGAACAGCAAAGCACCACAGTATCCTTTACGGTTGCTTTTCTGTTTCCCATACAGTGACTTTTTCTTTTTTTGTCAGCCATGTAACGTTTCTTGGATATGACAGGGTAGCCAAAAAAATGTCTGACACAATATTTATCTGAAAAGCTCAAGGTCCACAGCTCTCACATGACAAGAGGTAGTATGTCCTCATAGAAACAGGATAAAAATGATTATAGCCACACACTGCTGATAATAGAGAGAAAGGACAAGCAAGTGGATATATAGGAGACCTGGAGAGAGTAGCAGAGAGAGGATGGAGTGGTGGGAGAGAGAAAAGCCCTAATGAGGTCAGGAATGATGTAATGCCTCTGTACACGCAGTTTGCTCTCCTCCTTCTCCATTCTCTCTCCTCCCACCTTCAATTCTCTCCATTTCTAGTTGCTTTTACTCTTAATGGGTTCTGTTGCTATCAATCCTTTTAACTGGTGGGCCTTCAGTGCACGTCTGTGTATGTAATTCAATCCTTGTTCTCCTTTTCTCAGTGTTAAAACCTATAACTGTATGAACCCAGGCTACATATAAGTGTTCTGAGGTAGTAAATAATAAAAAAATATATATATATTCCAACTCAAAGCATTTAGATTGGTTATTTATGACCCAATAAAGTCTAGGATGCACTTGTGAAAGCACTTAAGAAAAATAAAATGTACACCTTCTTTAAGGAAAACCAACTTCATCTCTTCTAAGTAATCAGACTCTGGATGGTGATAATAAAAAGCAAAAGTTAGACAACCCATGGAAAAATAAAGTCCAAGCAGTGGTATTGATATAGTAGTGTGTTCATGCTGCAGAAAGCTGCCAATATGTCCTTCCTTTCTGCATGCTTGATACAGAAGGCATGCAAAGACATCTGCATGCCTAGCAACAGCAGACCGTTTCCCCAAAGTGAGGCAGAGAGGAGGTGCTGACCAACATCTACTCCTGCAAACCAAACAGGACTCATCTGACACCAACACCTCTGCATTACCTGAAAATTTACCGTCCTCCACATCCACTCGTGAGACACTTTATTAGCAACACCTTGGTGGTAGGAGGGTTGGATCCTCTTGTGTCATTAGAGCTGCCTGGGTTCCTATAGAGCAAAAAATTTAGCCGTGTCCGACTGTTCAACGAACCAGATTGGGATGCTTTAGAGCTTTACGCCATTCTTCCATATCCTGGTCTAAGTAGCCATCTTAAGAATGAGTGTGGGTATTTAAGGTTGCTAAGAGGTCCAAAGGAAATATCTCCCTCACCATTACACCACCACCAACCTGAAACACCGTTAAAGGTCCGGATGAGTTTGTACTTTAATGTTTTATCAAACTTTAGAAAGTTGCAGATAAAAATTCAAATATTAATATTCAATGTCCTGACAAAATGTAACTTCTACATTTTCTAAGTATACTGTTAGGGGTTTGTTTGCTAGCACACCCCCTAGTGAACCATGCAGCTGAATTATCTGCAGCTGGTTCATCAAAAGCATGGCTTACTTTTCTTTAGCCGACTTGCAAACTGTATTTTAGACGACGCAGATTATTTTCCATAAATATAGAATCTGTTTTTTTTGTTTTTTTTACCTTTTAAATTAGTGTTTGAATATCAAATCGATTGTATTGGCTGCTGCACTTCCATTAATACCTTAAGTGTTGTTGTTAAAAAAGTACCTATAAAACCAGCAATTAAATTTAATGATGTTTAAAGCAAAGAAATATGATTAGAAAATGTACTTTTTTTTTTTAACAAAAAAGCTTTTGTCCACACTTCCAAATTAATTTATCTGAAATATTCAACAGGCTGTTATCAACAACTCCTACACTAGCACTAGCCTTGAGTTAACTGCTCTGCATAAAAATATTTATTTTATATAGATTTATTTTGATTTTTTTAGGGCACTAGTGTTTTTTTTCATCAGTAGGCTGACAGGAAATGGGGTATAAGAGAGGGGGAGAGATATGCGGCAAAGGACCACAGGTCAGATTCACACCCAGGCTGGCCGCGTCAAGGACTAAAGGCCAATTTATACTTCTGACGCATAGCCTCTGCAACCATCAAATCTGTCTCTGTGCGCGACCACGCCCCCCCACGCAGAGGTTCTGCAACCGTCGTCGCATGCCTAAAAAAAAAAAATCGATCACAAACCCACGCAGACCTCAAGCGGAAGTGCGCAGACAAAAAGCAGCTTTTTATTGGTCCTTGGTATGCCTTTCTGGCTGTCTGTGTGTTTGTCCTTCTCGATTCGGTGCCGAGGAGGAGTGATAACAGCAATGGATAACCCCGACAAAAGGTTGATCGAGGAGATTTGGAAGTACAACCACTTGTACGATGCCTCAGACATGTTCTGAAAAAAATGAACACTCCCGCCGGCTCCGACCAAGTAGTTCTTGAATAGGCTCCCCCTAGCGCTTTGGCGGGAAACTGCTCTGCATCCCTAGAAATTCCAGACCGACGTTGCAGAGGCATACCAGCTAAACTGGTTCGTGACCTGACGGAAGCGACATTTGATGTGTGCGGTTGTAGAAGTATAATCCGCCCTTTAGGCCTCTGTACATGGTTCGTGCGTGCTAACCACTGCACCACCGAAGAAAGCTGATATATATTTAAATAAATTTTGATTGCTGTTAAGAAAAAAAAAAAAACTATATTTAATGAGAAATAGCTCAATAAAAACAGGTGCTAAATTGCTAATTTCAAACCTGTTGAGATCTGAGTAATATCAGTTTTTTAATATTAAAATCAGCAAATGCCTGTTTTTTTATGAATATAAAAACAAATACAGCCCTTAATGAAAGCACGCCTAAAAGGGACAATATATGAACTTCATTTTTTTATTTGCAAAAAGTAAAAACACCTTTTGAAAATCTTTCTTTGAATTAGTCTTGTTGTCATGAGCCTCATTTTGTGACTTTTCTTCTCTAGATTGGACACACTCTGGAGGTGAATCACAGAACAACAGAAGGGTTTGACTTAACTAATGGCGTTTGGCAGGAAAGGGAACCAAAACAGATCGAATAAAGCAGAAGTTCGAAACTCGGGGCAAAAAATAAAAAAATAAAATGCTGAACCAAGGATGCTGGCCTACTGTCGACTCAAAAACTAGGAATACCAAACAATGCAGATAGATACATTACTTATAATAAAAATACCAATATTTTAAAGTTCCTGGCAGTAAACATTTATAATAAATCAATCAACTTCATGAACTTTATAGAGATGTAAAGCTTGGCTGTCAATCAATCAATCTCTTAATAACGCCCTTTAACACCTTTGAAAACATTTGGTGGGAAGAACGAACATGTTTTCCAGGTGTATGGAGGTAAATACAACCTCTGGTGCACAAAACATCTTTTTTTGTTACCCAAATGAAAATATAAACTATTTGTTTTTAATGAAAGCTACATCCAGCTCTTAAATAAAGAGGTAGGGGCTGCACAGTGAAGCACTGAACAATCCATGCTACTTTTGACATTTCACTAACATTGCACATTTACAAATTGTTCAAATGCACCTCACACTTAAATGCAAGTAATCTGGATCCAAATCTCAGCTGCTTCCCTCAACATATTTATGTTGTCAGGTAATTAGCGAGTATAGAATTACACTTCTTTTTTCAGGGCAACAACCTGGTAATGGCTGCTGCTTAGGAAACTACTTATGACAGGTGATCAAATTACGCTTTGCTTCTTAGGTCACCAGTAACAGAAAAAAGGAGATGACAGCATTATGAATCTGGCTCCTGGGGGCTAGTAGACTTCCTCATAATGTGCATGCCTCTTAAATTGATCCCATAATAACTGTTTATGCTTAAAGCATGCAAACAACAAACTGAGCAGCAGCAATGTTAGCTGATCCTGAGGTAGACAACCCATCGTTTGAAGCAGCAGACATTAACAACCACCAGCCCTCAGTCGCACAGACACAGAGTGTGAGCAGAGCGGCTGTGGCAGGTGCCACGGAGCTGGAATGTGAAGCAGCCGGATGCCCTCACCACTTTGGCTTCACTGCGGCTCTACAGATTCAGGAAGAGGATTTTACTGTTCATTACAGCTCGATAGCAACAGTTTCTGACTGAACAGAGCACAGGTTTTAACTTAAGTGGAGAAGTTTGAATGTTTTGGCAACGTGTTCATGAATGTTGGGATGGAGCAGGAAGTGGATCAATGGAGTTTCTTTTAGCCTTTATGAGATATATTACTACAATAGTTTTAAATATGAAGTGTGAGAAAAGAAAAAGAGAGACAGATGATAAACGGATGGATCAATTGATGAATGGAGCAGCAGAACAGAGTAGAGAAGGGGGAGAAATATTTTTATATGGCAAAATCCTTCCTTCGTCATCTTTACCGTCGACAGGCTGCAGCCATGTCCCGAATTTCTGCTTTCCAGCCATTTGTTGAAATTTGCATTTTCCCCATTCCCTAGGTTTTCCTCAGCCTCAAGCTTGTCTTCCAAACATACGGCTTTATGGTCGACCCAGAAGCAGTTCTGCGCAAATATAATCACGATATATCTGGTGAAATTGTTTTTATGAACGTACTTATTTAAAAAAAGAATAAAGCATTGGAAATGCCACATTTATCACA